GGGAGGGTGCATGTGAGAGTCAGCGTTGGCCAGGGAGGGTGCATGTGAAAGTCAGCGCTGGCCGAGAAGGGTGCATGTGAGAGTCAGCGTTGGCCGGGGAGGGCGCATTAAACCATGTGTGCAGCCGGCAGCGAGAAGACGTCATCCGGCTGGCACGTGCAATGTTTGAGTAGTAACATCCAGGGCTAGTGCAAAGTCTGTTCAGCCTGCACACAATGAGAGTGTACACGTCAGCTGCATCATAAAGTCTGCAGCTGTGATGAAACACAGAGCCGACAAAAATCGGCCGATCCGTGCCAGGCTCGGTCGGGGTACTGACGGCTTTCTGACAGTTCACACCCATCTGAAGGCTGACTGCCTCTATTGCGTGCAGACCGTACACATCGCCGGGCGCCAAGATCAGTGCCAGATTAAAGAATGAAAGCTCACGACGTTTAACATTTCTTCCGGCCGCAGAAACGAGAGCTTGCCCAGTTCGCACGACCGGGTAAACGCCGCCAGCAGAGAGCGAAACCGGTCGTCCGAACCGGTACGAACCCTCGAGAGAAACGTGGATCGCAAGGATCGCAGGAGGCGATGATGTCAGCCGAGCGCCGTCCAGCTGGCAAACGCCAGCTGGCGAACGTCAGCTGATCGCGCTGGCTGGCTCGCACTCGGCTGACGCCAATTACCGGCATTCTGAGCGGCGAAGCACGGAGCCGGCGGACTTGTCTGTCGGCAGGGGAATGAAGCCACCTCCAGCTCTGTGGCAGAGCGGGAGCGAGGCGAACGAGTTCTATGGCGGGATTGTGGCCAGGAGACACGAAGTGAGAGTGAAAATAATTACCAGTACGTGGGCAGAGATTCCAAGAATAGGTCAGGCTATGATACAATGAACGCGCCGCGCAGCGCAGCGGCGCGCATGAGTAGTATGGGACAAAAAATAAGACAAAAAGGGAGTTAAGACAAGCATGGTGAAAAGGCAGAGACAGCAGACGGAAGGAAGAGCATACGAGACATTGATGGAGATTAGGGCTGTCAATTGGCGATACGGGACCAGACCACAGCAAAACGTCTTGACCGTCAAAAGGAAGCAGCGGCAGTCTCCCACCACGACTGTGATGCAGCTGCCCTCGAAATGGTGCCAAGATCCTCAGGTCAATCGGCAGCCGTTACGCTGGTTGTGGCGTCAGTTCTGACATCAGCAGGTGTGACGTCGGTTCTGACGTCACCTGATGTGACGTCGGTCTTGACGTTAGTTGATGTGACGTGCGGCAGCGGCGCCGCGATCA